CAAGTAAAAACAGTCAGGAGATCCTTGACGAAAAGGTTGAATAGTAATGGACCAAAATGGGGTCCTTGAGGAACTCCAGAAACATAGTTAGAACGTTGCTTTAAATTAGATATTATTAATTTTGGAAGTTGTAGATCTATGTAGGATGCGAAACGCTTTAGAGAAACCTAATCCATAGATTCGTACAGAGACTTTGTAATAGAAGTTAGATTAGGAACTGTAGACCGACGAGTGATGAAACCATGTTCTGCTGGTGACATGTATGAGCTTATGCTGCTAAGAGTGCTAAGTAATATGTTACGTAAGATCTGATAGTATGTACACTTTGCCCAAATTCGATAATATAGTTCCAAGGATTATGTAATGCGGATGAATTTGTATTTTTGACAGACGTTTAGACAGTATATTTTACAGTCTTCTATCACGAAAGATGGTAACTTATCATGACCAGATGTAATTTAAGTAGCAAGTTTATTTAGGACTGGCAAAAATTCTTGATCTCTAACTTTGTGAAAAATAGTAGTAAAAATGAGTGAATATCTTTAAGTATATGTGAGGACCTGGTTGCAAAAACTTTTGAAAATTCAGATGTGAAAATTCAGCAACGTACAAATGTGAAAGAATAACAAGTTGATGTTAGCAACATAGACGAATTTTAAATATTTTGTGAATATTAAACCACTTTATTTATCAGCTGAAATTAACGTTAAAAAGAAAAGAAACAAACAAACACAGAATACAAAAATTGGTACAACTTTATTTAGAACAACTTCCCTCGGACTGAAGTACAGACCACAAAACCCGCTTCTTCAAAAAATTATAAATGTGACTTTTATTTTTTTTATAAAACCTATAATTGGGTTAAAAAAATATAGACAACAGCAGTAACAGTGAAATAAAACAAATTGGTCGAAAGCTGCGTCGGCAGAACTTCCCTCGAAGTACAATGAAACATATCCAGCATTTTTGAGGTGAGTTTTTACTTTATACAATTTTGTGATGACGTCATCAACATTTTTGCAAGGACACCTTGGATAGGTGCACTGTAATACTAAAAATAACAGTATTCTATTCCCAAAATTTTCTGGGAAAATGGAGTGGAGCGTCCCGATTTAATCAATAAAATAAATTGACACATTCATTAATTTTTTTGAGCCACCTGTATAAGCAAATCTAAAAAATATGAATGCAATGATAAATCACAAGTAAAAACTCATCACGTTTTGCACATTTCGGGTAGATTTTTACAAGTGGCAAAATCCGTTTTCTCTTAACAAGTACTAGGACCGCCCACCTGTCCCCTATTTTCTCAGAGGGTGTCATTTGCCGAAATATGTCTTATCTTAGCAAGTCCTAGCCCTGCCCATGCCCACCTACCCTTTACTTTCTTAGAGGGTATGTCATTAGTCAAAATCAGTCTTACCAGGTACTAGCCCCACCCACCCACTCTCTCTTTTCTTAAAGGATATGTCATTTGCCGTAAGACTGATTTTGGCAAATGCAATACCCTCTGAGAAAATAAAGAGGGGGTAAAGAAAGTTATATTGCAATTATTCTATTTAGTTTTAAATTTTTTCTAAAAATTGTGGATGTCTAGGGTGAAAATTCGACACGGATTCACACATCACAAGTACAAGAGTGTCTTATTTTATAAAATTAAAAAAACTGTTAATTATAAATTTTGGAGATGACGTCATCAAATTGTTGGTGGGGATAATTAGCCATATTTTCGTAACCATCTACATGATATTTCTAAAATTTGACAACAATCGGTCCAGCAGTTTCGGAGATTACGTGGATACAGACAGACAGACAGACAGACGGAAAGGGGAGACCACGTTTTTCGTACTCTACGAGGTCATGAAACGTCGAGAAAATATGAAAGTGGCAATTCGGCCGATGGACTCCATTACTATACTTCCTTAGCTAACGCTCGGGAAGTAAAAAATTATGCACAAGGTAATCAATTCCACGCCCTTTGAGTTACATGCTGTCGGTGGGGATGATCAGACAAATCTTGGTGCGTTTTACCATCTACACAATATTCCTAACATACGTATAAAATTTGATATCAATTATTACCTGCCTAATAAAAATTGACACAGACAGATGACACTAAAACTTTCAGACGTATGATATTTTATGCTGATATAATGTGTTAACATAAAATATATAAAGCCAATACAAAGAAAAAAAAAAACAAAAAAGAAAAACTAATTACAAAAAAAAATCACCAAATGTATAGTGTACGAAATATAGTTGTACCCTATAAAATTTTATTGACAATAACGAGGCGGACCGTAGTACAATGCTAAGAAATATTTATGGTTCACACCAGTTCACCCCTAATTTGTCGGAGAACATTTAGTAGGTAGTTGTACTGTAAAATAATGGTCATTTTGGTTTGTGAGTAACGATGGTCGGACCTGGATTATTCTGCTTTCTAACATCTGTACATTACCGCCACGCGACAGCTTTAAGTTGTAAATATCTCTCGCTATTGTATACTACTGTCCGTTTCGTTATTGTCAATAAAATTTTATAGGGTACAACGATATTTCCTAAACTATATTTTATAAACTGTTTTCAAAAATGTCTTTAAACCGAACAATTTGGGCCATCTAAATTAATTTCTTTTTATAGTAGCAACTAACTAGGATTTTACTACTTATATTCCTCAGAAGTATACGTTATTTACTTTATTTTCAACATTAACAATTTTGTTTCTATTCGGTGTTTGAGTTTTGTTATACAGTTTAGACAATTTAGAAAATTCTAAAAAAAAATTTTTTCTAGTACAATTTAATTTTTTTTAATCGTGAGATGTATGCTATGTATATCAATAAATAGAAGCACCTTTCATTGAATTTGTTTTCAAAGAATGTTCGTGTTAAACGTGGAGATGATTTATCTGATAAAAGGGGCTTTTAAGCCGTTATAAATTTCTAAGGTCTAACTTTATACATGGATGTAAGGAAAGCTGTCTTGTTTTATTATGGTATAAGGATTCAATATTTTTAAAACAAGCGACCCAGTATCAGCTGAAAAAGGGTCAGCACCATTTTCTACCCATTTGTTTAATAAATGTCACACAGTCAGGCAAACAAACCAATAATTCTTTTTTTGAACCTACAGTAGATGCAAAAAATCAATTTTCAATTATTTCCACCTTTTGATCGAAAATCCCTAGCTACCTAAGTACGGCCAAGTCAATCTAGTTTCCTAAATTAATTATAAGAGTTGATTCTTTACATTTTTATTTTTTTATGATATATCGTTTATATACATATTATTATATTAATATAAAAAATATCGGCAGATTAATAGACCACACATTCTGAGCAGAATTTACTTAACAAATTGGTCTAACAAATTACATATTTAGGCAGAATGTTTTTCGCTCAGTTTTTTCCAAAAAATGTATTATTTGATTTTGAAAATTTGTATTAATTTTATGACAACCCCTACAAGGATCAGTCACAGTGTACAAAATATTCGGTAAGGATTGGACCGAGCACAAGTACAAGCATTGGATGCAGAAACGAGATATCGGCTATATGAACAACATGAAAAATACTACATAAGAAAAATGTTTGTAAAGTAATTGTGATAGAAGTCAAGGCGAATTCATAAACCAAGAACACAGAATTGTACCATATTTCATAAAATTTAGATAAACTTAACTATGCAAAATGATGAGAGTATTTCATCAAATTGTTGATGGGCATGATTAAACAAATTTTGGTTAGCGTTTTACCATCTATACAATATTCTTAAATCATATATAAAATTTGGTAACAATCATTCCGGTAGTTTCGGAGATAATAAAAATTAACACAGACGACAAGACGACAGACAGACGGGGTCATCAAACGTAGAGAAAACACGAAAGTACCTATTCACCCAATGTATTTTTTACTTTATTTTATTTTACAATGCTTCCTCCCTAAAAACGTTGTGAAGACGTGATCCTCTTGATGAAATTTTGAACAAAAATAAGAATTAACTACTTAATTTTATCGTTTTTTAAAAATCAGCTGATTGTGTGGCTATTCGGCGAAACTTTCAATAAATTCCAGACTCAATTAAATTTAAAGAACTTAATCCAGATACTTGCACAACTATAATTTTAATAACATAAGAAAAGTGATTGTCAAAAAGAGAGGGTAAAACCGGACGTCTGGTAACCCTGATGCACAGTGCCCCCATCTGGCAGATGCATTTAATAAGGTACAGTGCACACAAGCATGTGTAGCAGTGTCCTAGAACTAAAAATAAGGGGTGAACATAAACTTTTCGAATTAGGGTAGGCTATGGAAAGATTTTTTATTTCTTTGATTAAACCAGACCATTTGGTACGCCAATACTTTTTGCTCCAAAGTGTTGACCATTCGACATGGCCCTTATTCGAAAATTAATTAATAAGTTTGCATTTTGATTCGTAAGGTTTAATCAAAGAAATGAAAAATATTTCCGCAGCCTACTCTTAGTCGGAAAATTTTTTCATCACTGTTATTTTAAACTCATGTATTGACAATTTAAAGTTTCATTTTAAAGTATTTGTCTCTACATTTCAAGAGTTTGTTTACCCCCGACAATAAAAAGCAAGTTTTATACAATGCCGTCCTTATTAAAAAAAAAAAAAAGAAAACAGATAAAACCACTGTCAATAACTGTTATCAATACATTAGCATTTACCATCAAGTACAAAAAAAGCGACCTTCGGTACTTGACGCCAATAAAAACCAAACTGTACTCAACTGTTCTTTCTCCCGTCCCCCTTTCTCATCACTTCCCTTCCTCTTTGTCCATGCATCCGCAAAAAAAACAACATCAAAGAAACAAAAGCCGCCGATCTCTCCCGATTGCACTCGTCCCTTATTATTTGTCAGCTAACAGGTAAAAGGTGTGCATTCCTAGACGTACATTAACTTCGTATTCGCTCGGTCTTGTTCGTGCGGTCCGCCAGCCGTCTGTGCCGGTCTCTCCTGCATTGTTATTGGCCGAGAGCGGCAGTTTCGTGAGCGACGTTCAGACGAATGTTGCACGAAGAAGTGTGTTCGCGAGCTCGTGTGTTGGTGCGTGCCGAACTGACTCTGTTTGTTTGTTTGTGTTGTTGTGTTGTTCATCTTAGGATTTAATTGCGGCGGGATTATGCCTAAGGATTGAACGTAAGCAACATTTTTCGCCCATTGCGACCAGGTGTTTTGACTTTCCATGGGTGTGTAACCTACGCGTGCTGGAGTAAGTCCCCATGGAAAGAGCAGAGAACAAGTTTGTGTGCGGTTAGGTGACTTTTGAAAGGAATTAGTATGAGGTTGCGATCGCTATGGGTTTATCTAACTTTTCGAAAGTTTGAGTTTTGGATTTTTTGGGTTTTGTACGAGCGCTTTCGTAAACAAGCGCCGAAGATTTTTGACCTCAAGTGGGTTGCTTGTGCTGCAAGTTTCTTCTTGCTTTGTCTCGACGGCCCTCTTGCTCTTCAGAGAACAGGAAATTCGCTTACCTTGCTCGGGATTATTATTTCATTTAATGATGGAAGTTGCTTTGAGAATATGTAAACTCTTGGTTTTGTATTCTAGTGAAGGGTTTTGTTCGATGAAGCCGGTGTGTACACTGCGGGATATCGGAATTTTTTTATTTATTAATCAAAGGTGGATAACACATCAGTGTAAAGAAAAAAAAATCACTAATTTAATGACAATAAAATAATGTCGACTGATGTACGAAGTTCTCCAGCGACAATTTAGCCTTTTATGTCACCTGTAAATTCGTGGTTAGCTCACATGTTCGTGGGTTTATTTCTCATATAATTTGAACTGCTATCTCATTGAACTAATTTTTAAACGTTGAACAAACTTTATTGCTAACAGCTATTTTCATAGCAAAAACGGAATGCAATTTTTACCAATAAGGGTGTACATTTGCTGCTCGAGCCTTGCTGACTGCTTTCATCTGTCATCACTCATCATGAATATCTACTGTTTTGTTGGGGATTATTGGAAATAGTTTTGACAGTTCTAACAATTCACGATTAGAATGTTTAGTTACAGTAAGTGGAAACCTAACGGAAAGAAACTACTTTCGATACTTGGTTAAGGGTTAAAGCAAAATGGATTTCATCTTAATTTACTCTTTAAAGAATGTGACTTATTGAAGTTATAGAATCAGTTTATATTTTTGCTTTAAGTTCACTTATAACATATAAGTAAAAAGAAAACAAAATACTGATGCTTTGAAAACTACTACATGTTGTTTAGTAAGTAATTGTTTTACTACCCCATAAACAGTAGGTTGTTTTCTGACCTGCCCAAATGTCAATGACTTTTGGAATGAGAACCATATCTCACCATTTTTACTTCCCTAGCCTAACATCGCGCAATCCTTTGATATGACAAAGTAGGCCTCCCGTTTCCGCCTGTCTGTCATTTGTTAGTGATTTTATTAGATAGATTATTGCACTCACATGTCACATGATGTCAACTGACCAATCAAACGCGTCAATATTTGTAAATTCAACCAATCAGCATACAATTACGTGATAATTGCACACTGTGCAATTACCACTACCGATAATTATCACTAGCCAGATGTGCCAACTATAAGATAAGCAAGTACCAGTTAATTGCAAAAAAAAACAAGAGGTTACTAACCAAATATTTAATTATGAAACTAAGAATTGTAATTAATTATGGTACAGTTGTAGTAATTTACAGGGGTTTGTGTGCTTGGTGAAGTAGTAACTATATTTTTAGACATTTGTACCAAAGCAGACGGTGCGCAATTTGTGGATTTGTTATTAGACTCTTCCATAGCCGTTGAGTTGGCGCGTAATTTGTCAATCATTTGATAATGATGATCTCCATCGAGCTGAAGGTATGGTTTGATGGAGAAAGTATTGGCATGACCGGTAATCTTTATAAGCTGTTCTTCACCGACTCCCGCTTTTGCAAGTTGCGACACTGCAGTTGACCGTAATGAATGATTACTAATCTTCTTTTTCTTTATGTCGATGCCTATTTCTTCTGCGGCGGTTCTTGTCCATTTCCCCATTTCATTCCTTCCAACGGGTGAATTTTTGAACCATCCTACAGAACTAGGTTCTCTCCATGCAGGATTTGGCGTTAAAAATAAACGATCGGTGGTTATATGTTTACCTCTCTTGCTCAGCATTTTTTTGTAGAGCCTTAAATAATAAAATAATTATTATTTTGTATTTGAAACAGTATTTAATTACCTAACAGGGCAAATTCTAGGATCTGTGGTGTTTGTTGCAAGCCATTTGCTGTCTGTTAATTTATGGCTACCTCCTTGAGCTGTTTTGGAAAAAATACAATTGTATTCTATTCGCCCCGTAGGCAAACCACAATTATCACTTTCTTCCTTAAAATGTTTGATAGTAACGTTAACACCTTCACATCCCCTCCAAGCTAATTCTAATCCAGCCACATAAAAAAACATTTTCTGTAAACCATCTGGCGTGTCTTCGTTATAAATCTTTAGAATCTTGTTGTATTCTTCTAGAGTCAAAATTGAGGAACTAGTTTTGCGTTTTTCCGGTTGTATTTGTAGGTTCCGGCGTTTTGCGTCGCGTGCATTTCTACTACCCTTGAATTCCAGGTCAACAAAAGGATCAAACTTTATACCAAATTTATTGAAATACAGTTCTTGCAACTGCTTTGCCGTTACATTCCACATCGTTTTTATTACTGCTTCTTTGTAGTCATTACCATCGACTTTTTTCATATTGTACCCCCAATCTTTGAGGATGAATGCTAGTTTTTCCGTGGAAGTGTTTCCATCAAAAACATATTTGCGTTCACCGCAAAACTTCTCAAATTGCCTCCAGATTGAATTTCGTGAGTTCTTCGTATTTAGCGGCGTAATGTTTGTAATAGAATCATCAATTTCTTTTGGCGTGTTACGACCAAAACGAAAATTGGACATGGTTTTTTAAACCCACACAAATTTTGCAAAATGGCTGTTCTTATTTACTTGCGTCGCCATAGTATCGCACACCAAACTACTTCGTAAATCATTATAAAATTATTTTTAAAATGTTTGTTCTTGCAATAATCTGTTGAATATATTGCGTGCATCACAATGAAATCGATAATTTTGAACAACAATAATCTCTCATGCTTGTTGCCTAAGAAAAATGCACTCGTGCTAAAGCACTCGTGCGTTTTCAATGCAACAAGCATTCGAGTTATTGTTGCTCAAAATTATCGATAACATTGCGATGCACTTAATATATTATAACTGATTATTGCACTCACATGTCACATGATGTCAACTGACCAATCAAACGCGTCAATATTTGTAAATTCAACCAATCAGCATACAATTACGTGATAATTGCACACTGTGCAATTACCACTACCGATAATTATCACTAGCCAGATGTGCCAACTATAAGATAAGCAAGTACCAGTTAATTGCAAAAAAAAACAAGAGGTTACTAACCAAATATTTAATTATGAAACTAAGAATTGTAATTAATTATGGTACAGTTGTAGTAATTTACAGGGGTTTGTGTGCTTGGTGAAGTAGTAACTATATTTTTAGACATTTGTACCAAAGCAGACGGTGCGCAATTTGTGGATTTGTTATTAGACTCTTCCATAGCCGTTGAGTTGGCGCGTAATTTGTCAATCATTTGATAATGATGATCTCCATCGAGCTGAAGGTATGGTTTGATGGAGAAAGTATTGGCATGACCGGTAATCTTTATAAGCTGTTCTTCACCGACTCCCGCTTTTGCAAGTTGCGACACTGCAGTTGACCGTAATGAATGATTACTAATCTTCTTTTTCTTTATGTCGATGCCTATTTCTTCTGCGGCGGTTCTTGTCCATTTCCCCATTTCATTCCTTCCAACGGGTGAATTTTTGAACCATCCTACAGAACTAGGTTCTCTCCATGCAGGATTTGGCGTTAAAAATAAACGATCGGTGGTTATATGTTTACCTCTCTTGCTCAGCATTTTTTTGTAGAGCCTTAAATAATAAAATAATTATTATTTTGTATTTGAAACAGTATTTAATTACCTAACAGGGCAAATTCTAGGATCTGTGGTGTTTGTTGCAAGCCATTTGCTGTCTGTTAATTTATGGCTACCTCCTTGAGCTGTTTTGGAAAAAATACAATTGTATTCTATTCGCCCCGTAGGCAAACCACAATTATCACTTTCTTCCTTAAAATGTTTGATAGTAACGTTAACACCTTCACATCCCCTCCAAGCTAATTCTAATCCAGCCACATAAAAAAACATTTTCTGTAAACCATCTGGCGTGTCTTCGTTATAAATCTTTAGAATCTTGTTGTATTCTTCTAGAGTCAAAATTGAGGAACTAGTTTTGCGTTTTTCCGGTTGTATTTGTAGGTTCCGGCGTTTTGCGTCGCGTGCATTTCTACTACCCTTGAATTCCAGGTCAACAAAAGGATCAAACTTTATACCAAATTTATTGAAATACAGTTCTTGCAACTGCTTTGCCGTTACATTCCACATCGTTTTTATTACTGCTTCTTTGTAGTCATTACCATCGACTTTTTTCATATTGTACCCCCAATCTTTGAGGATGAATGCTAGTTTTTCCGTGGAAGTGTTTCCATCAAAAACATATTTGCGTTCACCGCAAAACTTCTCAAATTGCCTCCAGATTGAATTTCGTGAGTTCTTCGTATTTAGCGGCGTAATGTTTGTAATAGAATCATCAATTTCTTTTGGCGTGTTACGACCAAAACGAAAATTGGACATGGTTTTTTAAACCCACACAAATTTTGCAAAATGGCTGTTCTTATTTACTTGCGTCGCCATAGTATCGCACACCAAACTACTTCGTAAATCATTATAAAATTATTTTTAAAATGTTTGTTCTTGCAATAATCTGTTGAATATATTGCGTGCATCACAATGAAATCGATAATTTTGAACAACAATAATCTCTCATGCTTGTTGCCTAAGAAAAATGCACTCGTGCTAAAGCACTCGTGCGTTTTCAATGCAACAAGCATTCGAGTTATTGTTGCTCAAAATTATCGATAACATTGCGATGCACTTAATATATTATAACTGATAATCTCCGAAATGACTGGACTGATTATCCCATTGATATGAAATTTAAGATGTATTTTAGAAATATCGTGTAGGTAAAATGCTAAACGAAAT